AGCAGACGATGTTGCGAACGACGCACAACTCCTGGGCCGGCCCAAATACCTAAATGACAAGCCAGAAGGGTGATCCAATCTCCGACCGGAAGGCCTTGCCGAGGAGGAACGACGGCTGCTTGTGACTCCGGCCCGCTGCTCCGACTGGAAGGCCTCGCTTCCAACTCCAGCCTGCCTCCGGACAGCCTCTCCAACCGAAAGGCAACACCACTTCCAACTTCGACCCGCGTCTCCAACCAGGGATGCGCCGAACCTCTGCTCATAGCTCTTCTCCGACTGGCGCAATCAGAGCCGACTGGGACCAACCGATCGGAGACGTCCGCTCGGTAAGGACTAGGAAACGGACGGAGAAAGTAAGGCAGGGCACTCAAGTTAACTGCAATACAAAGGATCGTACCCTGTACACCTGCAGGACAGTACCCTACGACCTTCCTGGCATGTCAGAACCCAAGCAGTATTGTGGGCGCTGACATTTTCCTACAGTATTGTGGACGCCATCAACTTCCATACCAGACAAACACGGTAAGGCTCCCCTATATGCCTCTGGGCATCAACAGAGTTGTGGGCGCCGGCATTTACCATACCAGGCGAACATGGTAAAACCCCCTGCGTGCCTCTGGGCATCAACAGTATGGCAGGCACCGACATCTGCCATACCGGAAGAAGATGACGCAATCTCCCACATGTGTCTGACAACAAACAGTGTTATGGGCGCCTACCATCATCTTGTACTCGACGTCCTGAGCAACAAGATTTAGTAGCATGCGTACTCTCTCTCTTCCTCACTTGTAAGGCCACCCCCTTCATCTATAAAAGGGGATGCGCTCTCTCCTAATAAATAGATCCCTCAGTTCATTCACACACCACAACAGAACCACTAGGTTCAAACCTCGAGCACACGCTCGAACACTTAGCACATAGCGGAGCTCCCGTCACTCTCGGCCCTTCAGACCAGAGTCCGACCGGACCTCTTGTACCCCCATCTTTTCCCCTTCCGTTTGTAACCCCACAGCAAACTTCGAGTACCTTAGCTCAGGAATAAAGTCACCGATCGACCCAAACTGGATATAGGGCACGCTGCCTGAACCAGTATAAACTCTGTGTCATTGAGTGCTAGGCCACCTCCGATCACAACGTACAATAAAACTACAAATATTTACGTGTTGGTCACTTTCTGCACTGACAAAGATTATGTTTGTTTACACGCATGCATCAAAGTTTTGAGTGTCTGACACATGGGCCCCTGCACCATGCGTGTATGAAGCCATCCCGTCTCACGAGGGAAGATGAAATTGAGAAGACGGAGATGTGCGGGATGGAGAGGAGCAGATAAATAAAACGAAGCAGGCAAAACATGCGAGAAGAGAAACCAAACCTAACTACAGTGCACCACGTGGTACTGGATGGGGCTCCGGACGGCGCAACCAATCACCCCCGTAGTCACAGAAGATTTTAGACCCAGAAGGGAATGAAGGCCCGGCCCAGACCACTCCTCTAAGGCCGAAAGAGAATCCCCCGTCGTCCATTGGAGTTGGAGGTACCTTCGTGTGAAGACGCCGTAGCCATCGCAAAATCCCCAAATCCGCGGCGGAGACGGAGAGAGGGGCGCAACCAGACAGATCGGAGAAGGGGGAAGAAGATGGTGCGGGTGGCGACCTACTTCGCGATGACCTTCGGGGCGTTCCTCTTCTGGCAGTCCATGGACAGAGTCCACGTCTGGATCGCTCTTCACCAGGACGAAAAGGTACTATGCGATGCCGCTTCTCTGGCGCAATCTCTTTCCCTTATCAATCCTTGTGAATTCAAATCCATTCCTTGTTGAGTCTGCGGGTGCAGCTTGTAGATTCCATTATTGCCTTAGCTTGTTAGATCCGGTTTGTCTATGCCCTTTGATTAGCAGTTGCTCGAGCCACATGAATCTTCGAATGCATATGCTAGATCCGACATGGCCTGATGAACTGTGGGTTTGGGAAGAGTTTCTGGCTTACCTGAAATTATGAGTGCGATGTCTTGAAGCATAGGCTCTCTTCAGTTGCTGTGCTGCCCTCCCTCCCGGCACTCTCTGTCTCTGCATTTTTTTCTTTTTTCTTTTTTCTTTTGAGACGCCAATTCGTGTCCTAGACGGCTAGACTAGGAACAGATCATATAAAGTTGTGCACAGACATGGAATGAAACGAACTCAGACGTTACATTTTCTCACAGACACCACTAGTGGAAAATTTAGCACCAGAACATTAGACTATTAGAGTGTGATAGAAGAATATGCAAATGGAAGACATCTGGAAGCAGCCCATTTCAAGCAATAGAATGGATGTACTGTAGGAAAGAAACAGCATATGTCACCTTTGAGGGTTTTGACTTTTAATGAATTTGCAACTATGGCACCCAATTTTTGCAGCTGTAGTGTTGCTTCCATTATCAGTCAGGTCTACACCTACCAAATAGTTCTAGTGTTCCATGGCTCCAATAAAATGTGGATTGAAAGTTAATCTTAATTGCATTAGCTGTCTCATGCTTAGTGATGCCGTTGGCCACAACTGTGGATTGACTGTACCCGAATCCAGAATTTACCCGTACCTGTTCGATTATTTTATCCATCCCCATGGATAGCCAAACGGGTATGGGTATGCCTGTTTCTACCTGTTGTTCACCGACCGATCTCTGCACGGAAGAGACCCCGGCTGTTGCGATGGCACCGGATCCTCTGTCCTGTCGTTACCATCGCCACCGGTGGGAAACTGGGAAGGGGTCGTTGTTCAGAGTGACAGCTAGGGGTGCTGTCTCCAGCTCCTGCTCTTGCACCAACGACAATCCCTGGCTGATGATGAACTTGCCCCGCGACGGGAGAACGGGATGGTCGTAGTCACCGGAGATGTGGGACTGCTCACCATCACGATGACCCCCGCTAGCTCCGGCGGCGACAAGAACGCCTCCTCTCCAGAGACGCTGCTCCCTCCAGCGAAGAACAGCTTCGAAGGCACATGGGAGGAGACGACGATGGAACTGCGGCAGTGCCCGTTGATGGCCGTGATCAAGCATAGCCTCTCGTTGCTCGAGACTCTGCCTCCAGCACCTCCTGAACATCTTCTGAGATTGGGATTTTTGCGGGGGCGGCGCAGACGAGTTGGAGCAGCGGGCGTAACGGGTATACCCTCCCGATATCCATACTTTACTAGATAATCCATACCCTCCCCAAGCAACATGGGTATGGGTGTGGGTTTGGGTATAGGCACTGGATATCCAGTGGCATCGTTACTCATGCTGTAAGGTTGTATAATTATGGTTTGTTCTGAATCCTGAGTGTCTGGATTGCAGTTTGAAAGCCATTTAGATTGAGAGGTACATTGCCAGGGAAACTTGTGAGCTGTTTGAAAACACATCATGTGTGATAATAATTGTGTGTGTTCACACGATGACACTTCGATACTATGATTAAATTTTTGTCTCCATTGTACCCAAAGGTTCATTCTGAGAGATGGAAAGTTGTGGCTGTGTTTCTCTGGCGCACAGCTTTTATTTCTGTAGGCATGTTTAGTCCTTTTTGGATCCCTGTTCTTCAAAGACAGTGTTAAGACATGACAGCATTATGTACCTTTGTAGTGCTAGACTCAAACACAGACAGAATCACTTGCTGTATGTTCTGTTCCCACCAAGAACACCATCATCAGTTCATCACTCAAAGACCTGACCACCAAAACCACCATGGCCCATTTGTGCAAATACATGTACTATCAGCGTCTATAGTTTATTATACTCAGGGGTGTTTTTTTTTATGGAAGCAGCTGATAGTGGTTTTATTCTTTCAGAAAGAGAGGATGGAAAGGGAGCTGGAGATAAAGAGAATGCAGGCAGAGTTGCTGGCCCAAGCTAAAGAGAATGAATCATGATTATCATTTGGCCAATGGTTTCAGGCAGTTCCTTTATCATATTTCCTCTGCTGTATTTTCCAAGTGATATCTTGACTGATGTATGCTCAACACCTCCAATAAATTGAGAGATGCTATAACATTGTTGAATGCAAGTGGGTATGCTCAAGTTGAATTGTTGTAACTTAGCAGAACTGCAAGAACCTGCTCCAGCTTGCTTGGGACAAAAGGGTTTGCTGCCATTTTTGTTATTTCAGAACAGCACAACTCAACTCTCAGATTTTTTTGATCTGGTTATAAGGTGTTGTTTTCTACTGTGATTTCATTGTTCACTTGAAGAAACCCTTGTTGGAAAGCAGAATGTTTGGTGCTGTTTAAGTGACCTCGTGTTATATTTACTCATGTTCCAGGCATACATATCCAGCATGTTGGCTGCTTTTCTGTTGTGCCGTTCTAAGTTAATAATGTAGTGCTATTTTCTGCTCCCTGTAGTCTTGATCCTTGCCTTGCGCAGCAGTATCTTTCTTTCTCTTCCTTTTTTGAAAAAAAACTTTCTTTCTCTGTTTCGCACTCTTTTTTGGGCTTTCCGGTGATTCAAGCAGCTTTCATAATCATAGCGCCATAGCCAATTTGCTTGTTCGTTTGCTGACGGCCCTTTTTATTATGATGTCTCCAACATGTGCCACTAAATAAACTCCACCTGAACTTTTCTATGCTTAACGAAAGCATAGTAGATCAAATCTTTTATCAAGAGCAAGTTGGATCATGAAACCATGATTGGAACCAAAAAAAGAGGATGCTGGCGTTCATTCTGCGTTCAAGTCATTTTGTATTGATCGGTTTGTCAGGGTGCCAGAATCCAGAAAGATATCATAAGACTATATTTATTTATCTCATATTTCACTACTATATATGGTACATGCAGTTTTTACATCGACTTTCGGCTCACTGACTCCGACCGCGCTAAAAGAATTCTACCAACGTACGAGTAGATCACAGGGTGACATAGTAGGCATGTACATAGCTCAAAAGAGATCTGACATCTGAAAACAGACCAAAAAAAACTGTTCACTCCAACCTCTCACGCTCCTAATCTTACTAACCTTAACCATCCCAGGCTACTGCTGCGTTTGCTCAGCACTGGGTGGAGGTGCTCGTCTGCTTCCTGTTGGCTAGAGAAGAGAAGACCCTGGCAGCCTTCACCTTCTTCACTAGAAGCCCCCATTTGTCGCCATCATCGCCGGCCTTGGCTGCCGCCTTCTCCTGCTCCTTCTGCTTAAACCTCCTGCACGGCACAACCACAACATTGTCAGGCGCGAGCTCACGTAATGGATGGCTTGCAACGAAGCAACACTGGTGAGAGCCGTGTCGATCGCGGCGCTTACATGCAGAGCGGGGTGTCGCAGCGGTCGGGGCGGTCGCAGAGCGCGGAGTGGAGGCGGAGCAGCTGCCACATGCGCTGGCACCGCGCGCAGCTCTTGCGGTGGCACTGGGAGAAGTGGCGGATGAGCAGCTGCAGGCCCCGGCACGTGGCGTAGCGCGCGCACGGCGCCGGCGCCGGCGCCCGCCCCGCCGGGCCGACCTCCGTGCAGCCCTCCGTGCAGATGTGGTCCAGGCAGTCCATGGCCTCGCTCAGCTCCACGTACACGCGCTGCTCCTCGCGCTTCCGCCGCCACTTGCGCCGCCGCTGCAAGTCCAGAACCCAGCGCACATCGGTCAGTGCTTAGCTCACGAGGTTGGGTCGGTACAAAAAAATCGTGCATCGTGGAACTGTCCAACAAACGTAAACATGATGAATTAAAGATTCTCCGTGCCACTTTTGAAACCCTACGGTTGAAGACTGTTGGAAGATGGAACTGATCGAGTAGCCGCCAAGATTCCGCTATCTTTTGTCAAACCAAGGCATAAAGGTTACTTGGTCTGGAGTCCTAAACATGACCTGGCCTGGAAACTGTGTTCCAGGTCACGATTTGTCCACCCAGATGAAAACGTTTAAAAACAAAACAGAGGCGGAAAGGTAATAGGTCGGAGAGATGTGAACATTCGCCGACCATTCGGCGTGGACGGGCCGGCCTGAACCGCCCTACACAGACGCACCAACCACACAGAAAAAAACACTCGCGTCATGTCCTACGCGCACGAACGCGACACGGAGGTCCGACCATGTCCACCATTTCCTGGAACAAAGCTTGACGCTAAAGAAAGCATGCTCCCCACCCCACTGGCGCACGGCGCACGGCGTGACAGGCCGGCGTGCGTCATCATGCATGCATATTAATTTCCTTGCAGTGCGCTCGGACTTCCATTTGGTGCGTGCGTGCAAGGCTGCAAACATGTGTCAGATTTACATCGATTAGGTCCGGTTCGTTTCCCTTATAATCTGTCTTTTTAGCTTATTTTTTCAGTCGAAACAGTGTTTTCCTCTCACAACAAATCAGCCGGAACAATATTTCGACTTATTTTTTCAGCGAAGCGAACGGGACCTCGTGCAGGAGAAGGAGAAGGACGAGGAAAAAAACGTACCATGTCGGCCTCGTGCAGGCGCTCCAGGACGTGGAGCTCCTGCCAGGGGTCGTTCTCCTGCAGGAAGCGCCAGGCCTCGGTGCGCTCCACGGCGGCGAACTCCTTGGCCAGCAGCCTGGCGCAGCGCAGGTGCAGGCGCGGCGCGTCGCAGAGGTCGGCCAGCTGCAGCACGTCCACCACCGAATCTGCGGTGAGGCGCGCGCCGATGGCGCCCTCGCACGCCCGCTTCAGCCACGGCACCTGGTACGCGTGCGCCAGCACCAGCACCTGCACCGCGTGCTTCTCCATGTCATCCTCCTCCTCCTCGCCGCCGTCGCCGCACCTGCCGAGATGGTTTTTGTTGCCGTGTTAGTTAAGCGCCGCGCTCGCACATGATCGTTCGCACTTCGTTCGTCATTAACAAAATTTAAAATAAGCATAGCAGTCCAGACACTGTTTTTGTTTAGAACCTGACAATTCCTGTGAGCCACAAGAACATGTAGTAGTGTGGTCCAAGAATCATATAGTACTTCTAGCTAACGAATCATATAGTACTTGTAGTAGTGTGGTAGAAGAATCTTCGGCAGGCTCCACAAGAACATTCGCCCAAGGCGAGGCTGCGATCGCTCGGGCGGTCCCTTTCTCGGAATCCACATGTGGCCACGTAGGCCAAATAAGAATTTCCGGCAAGCAACGCCACGATGATAGCAGCCGCGGGCGGTGATTCGCCGGTGTGTGCCCGTGCCGGCCGTGCCCGCGACAGCGACAGCAACGGCTCGTCCGGTCGCCCCCGGGCCAGTCGTGCGCTACGCGATGACGCGCACGTCGGCCGGGGAGGGTCCAGCTCCAGCCGTCGTCCAGGTGCAACCCGGCAGGCGTTACCCATAACCCACAGTGCCACACCAACCAGGCAAACCTAGCGGCGGGGAAATACATAAAAAAGGCAGCGCTTTTCCCCTCGCTTTAGACTGACTCCAACAGACGAGCTATTACGGCACCCAAACATTCTTTAACATATTTTCCGATAAAAATCGATACCTTTTTTGGTCCGTATGTTGTCGGCAGACCAAATATAGGTGGCCTCTTCCGTCTCTCTCCTCCACGAAAATAGCCTCAACTGCTTTCGCAGGTGGGAAAAGAAAAACTCGCTTTCGGAGATAAAATGAGTAGCAAGCAACCCCACCATTCCACGCGCTTCCTCCCCTCCCTCTGTCTCCCTTACCCCGTCCGTCTTCAACATCACCTGATCGCCGCCTCTCCCAGTAGCGGCCCTTGTAGCCCCGACCGGAGATCCGAGGCTGTTCTTGGTAACCACCCCTCCTGCTTCCCCGGCGAGTGTGGCGGGAACACGACGTGTTTGCTGCAAGGAGAAGGGACGAGGCGGTCGACCATTCTTTGCTGCCGCTGCCGCTCTCGACAAACAAAATAATACGACCATCGATCTCCGTTTCCATGGAAAAACTTTCACCATAGCCGTGGCGCTACCGCAAACAAACAGGATGGGTCTCTTCTATTACTGCTTACTGTGTTGGAGATGGTGAAATTTGGGTGGCTGACGTTTTCCCTGTGCATGGCGGAAACAAAAGAATGGATAGTAAGTTTGGGTACTAACTGTTGGAGTCAGCCTTAGACCGTCTCCGATAAGAAATCTATACAAGCATCTAGATCTAAAATGAGTAGCAAGAGACTTAAAATTAGTTTTCAATAGAGTATCTATGCGGAAGACCTAAAATGAGTAGCAAGAGACTCAAAATCAGTCTCCAACAGATTACCTATACGGGGACCTATTTTAGATGGTCTGAGAGGTACAACCCAAATATAGGTATCATCTCTCGTAGAAACTCATTTACACAAAAAAAATTCTCTTTTGGATCTTATTATTGGAGAAGATACTGAATATGTATTAAACCTTTTACTTGTAGCGCTTATCAAAAAAACAAACAAGTCTTATATTTTAGGTGTTGTTTTTTAAAATAGCTTTGGCTAGCTTTTTTTACCCCCACTGGCCGTCCTATTCGCCGCCGGGAAAGCCACGAGATTTTTTTCGGCGATTTCCGGCGCTCGCCGCAGGGTTTGGGCGTTTGGCAGATCGGCGCGGGGTGTCTGTGTGGCTCTTGGCCATGTTTAGATTGCAAAAAATTTTAACCCGATGAATAGTAACATTTTCGTCTTATTTGGTAAATATTGTCTAATCGTGGAGCAACTAAGCTCAAAAGATTCATCTCGTGATTTTCAACTAAACTGTGTAATTAGTTATTTTTTTACCTATATTTAATGCTCCATGCAAACGGCTAATAATTGATGTGATGGAGAGAGAGTGAAAAAACTTGGAATTTTGAGGGTATCTAAACAACGCCCTGGTTTACCGGAGGGGTTCGGCGGGCGACGTGGCTGCCGCCGACCTGGGACGTGACACTGACAAATGGTGATGAGGCAACCCAACCCAATCTAATCAGTCCCATTTGCGAGCGGACCCGGCTCAGTGATTGGATGGTGCAGTAACAAAATATCAAGGCCGGGATCTGCCATTAACGACAAGTAGATTCACGGACTGGTTCGTTGAACCGACAAGTGCTCTACTGTTCAAATGCGTTTTTATTCGTATTTTATATAGATATATAGTATCTGGGAAATGTTTAATTTGGGTGCAAGGTTTTTCTAGGGAGAGCTCGATCGGTTTGGTAGAATTTGCTAGCTAGCTAGTTTTCAAATTGATTGTTCAAGCTAGCACATGGACTTACTATTCCTAGAACGTTGGAAACAAATCACCTCGAAATAAATAAAGAATAAAAAGTACTCCAATATAGATTAATATAATATACAAAAACGCTTCTTGTTGATGTTAATGATAATATACCCAAAACTATCCATTCGCTTCGTTGCCACCCAAATTTCACCATCTCTAAGAATAAAGAGACCCATCCCTGTTTGTTTGATGATCAGTTTTCGATGGGGCTGCTAACGTGGAGTACGCGTGCTGCGCCGGGAGAAGCAGGAGGGTGGTTACCAAGAACGACCTCGGATCTCGTGCGTCTAGAATAACTCAAAATTAGTCCTTGCTAATAATGGTGTTGCAGCGATTCGCTTGGAGGCGCCATGGCGAAACCTTTGCCCAGCCTCGAAAACAGTTGGAGGGCGAGATAGTGGAGGAGAGAGACGGAAGAGGCCACCTATATTTGGTGCTGCCGACAACATACGGACCAAAAAAATAAGACTAGATATCTGACATAAAATATGTTAAAGAACTGTTGGAGTCAGTCTAAGAATAAAGGTTGATGATCATTCTGGGTTGCTAACGTGGAGTACGCATGCGCCATGTTTCCCTCCTCGTGCGTCTAGAATAACTCAAAATTAGTCCTTGCTAATAATCGTGTTTTCGCTAGTTTGCCCAGCCTCGCAAGTAAAGGACGTGTGCGAAAAATAAGACTAGGAACAGCATAGCAGGTCATGCAATCCCATGGGGAAGCAGGAAGGAATTGAAGGGAGAAGACACGGTGTGTGTGTGTACGGACGTTACCTGCCGGCGTAGAGGAAGCGGACGAAGGCGGCCGCCGCGTCGTCGGTGACGCCGCGGATCCGGATGACGGACCTGCCGGGCTTGCCGCTCTCCCTGTCCTTCTGGAGGCGCCGCTCCAGGATGCTCCCGAGCACCGGCGACGCCGAGGCCTAGCGCGCGCGGAAACCAAGACGAACACAACTCTCATCAGACGAGCGACGACCCAAGATCGTTTGCGGGCGAACAGAGCAATGCGCCAAGGTAGAAGAACCGGTCGTCGGAGGGAACGGACGATGTGGATCGTTTCGGACGCTTACCAGAACAGAGGAATGCGCGGGGATCCTCCGGCGGCCGCCGGTGGTGACCACGTCGACGTCAGCGGCGGCGGCGGCGGCCGCGTTGCCGGAGCCGGCGCGGTAGCCGAGTCGCGGTGCCTCGCACATCTCGTCCGGCGTGGACAGGCGAACGAATGAATCGCGCGCGACGGAAGGGAAAGAAAGCTGCGGGGGGATTTGATTTTCCGAGTAAAATATCTGTGGACACGGGCCCGGTGCGGGGGAGGGAGACGTCGCAGCTGCTTGCGTGCTCTGGGTCTGGATGGCCAGGCCGGGCGTTTGAACGCTTTTATAGAGAGAGACGGCTGGGGGCCTGGGCGGCAGAGGGGAGAGCTCCGCGCTGGCCCAGACCGTGGACCGTCCCACGTTTCCAGACTTCCAGCAGCATATAGCCCAGCGGGGGAAATGCGATTCTCACAAACGGCCTCCGCCAGTTGTATATAAGGCCATCTGGCATGGGCACTATGGGCCGGCCCAGGCACACGGCCCGACCCACTCCAATCGTGGCCGTGCCTGGTACGGCCCGGTTGTAGTGCCGTGCCTAGGCCGCAATGTCGACCCGCAGTGCCGGCCCAGGCACGGCCCGTTAAAGGCGAGGCACGACTGTCTCCGAGCCGGTGAGGCGGGCGAGCCGTTGATGCCCCTCCCCCGCTCCTGTCGACCGTTGAATCTAGCCGTTGGAGGGGGAGGGGTATATAACCGGCCTCGCCCTTATCGCCCCGTATCCCACGTCGCCCTAATTCATTTTCACTGGTCCTCTCTCTTGTCTCGCTCTCCTCTCTAGCTCTCTCCTCTGCGACTGCGACGCAGCGACGACGACTCTCCTCTCCTCTCTCGCCTGCAACCTCCTCTCTTCTTCTCGCCCTCTGGTGGCCTCTTGAGCCACCGCTGGCCGGCAATGGCACACGGCACGGCCATGTACACCCCTCTTCTTGATCTCGCTTCGTCGTTGTAGCCCCGTCCTACTAGTCATCTCCGTGTCGGTAGTCGTCACCGTCGTCGACCTCCCTGGATCTGTGCTTCGTCGACGTCGCCGGCGATTCTGGTGCACCAGCTATGAAGGTACGACTAGCCGTAACCCTAACCCTTACCCTACCCTAACCCTAACCCTAGATCTGTACTAACTCTTTGTTTTTCTGAAGCCGTTGAGGAACCGGGGATTTTGGTGCTCCGGCTGTGAAGGTACGACTAACCCTAACTCTAACCCTTGCCCTAACCCTAACCCTAACCCTAGATCTGTACTAACTCTTTGTTTTTCTGAAGCCGTTGAGGAACCGGGGCGCCGATGCGTGATGATGGCTGGATTCGACGACGACACGGTTGAGGTCGGTACCAACCAAGAGAGACGGTTGTGCGGGTTGGCCGAAGATGATGACGAGGACGACCTGCGCGAGGACGCCGAGGAGCTGTTCGGCCGTAGCGTTCAAGCTCCCATCGATGTCGGCGATGATCAAGAAGGCGGGGCAGCAAATGTCGGGGAAGGGGACGGGGACGAGAATAGAGCTAAACGCATATCTCAGTCACAGATCTCTTTTAATCCTAATGGTAGTATGCGTAATTGGGAGTACTGTCCTATTGTTGCTCGTACTCAACTGGTTTGATTGCTTGCTAGGCTTGATGTTCCTGTCTCTTTGGGAGAATCTGATGCGTTTGAAGAGTACATTAGAACTGCTCATAATCCTAAATATATTCCAGTCTCTAGGCAAACCACCACTAGAGACATGCTGAAATACTTTACTGATTGCAAGGTTAAGCTTATTGAGACTGTTAGTTCTGCTGATGTTAATTGTGTGTGTCTAACCTCTGATATTTGGTCTGGTAATGCCAAAGAGGACTACCTTAATGTTGTTGCTCACTATATAAACTCTGATTGGCAACTAGAGAAGAGAGTGTTTGGTCTTAGGCTTATTGATTATTTCCACAATGGATAAAACATTGCTGATCGTGTTGCATCTGTGCTTGCTGATTATGGTTTGACTGAAAAAGTGTTTGCTGTTACTGTGGACAATGCATCATCTAATGTTTCAGCCATGCAAAGACTTAGACCTGTTCTTTCTAAATATCTTGGTATTGAAGTTGTAGATGATGATAGTGAAGAATTAGACAAAGACAATGCATCCCTTAATGCAGTTAATTGTATGTTGTTGCATCAGCGTTGTGCATGTCATATTATCAATCTGATTGTTAAGGAGGCCCTAACTGCTCTTAAGCCTTTGATTGAAACATTTAGAATTGCAATATCTTTGTTAAACTCATCTAACCAGAGAATTGCTGCATATAAAAGTTACTGCATTACCACTGGTGTTAGGCCTAGAAAGTTTCAGCTGGACATGGAAGTTAGGTGGAATTCTACATATCTAATGCTTAAGCATTTGTTTTCTCATAAGGCCCCATTCACTACTTTCATACATGCTCAATATCCTAGGGCTGAAGGTGCCCAGTTGCTTTTAACTAATGACCATTGGGCTATGGTAGAAAAAATGCTTAAATTTCTTGAACTGTTTTATGATTCTATAGTTGCATTGTCTGGTGTGTACTATCCTACATCTCCACTTATGATTTCATTATCTTGTTAAGATTGCTATACACCTAAAAAATTATGCTAATGATAGTCACATCAGACCTGTGGTTCAACCTATGATAGACAAATATAATAAATACTGGAGGGACATACCTTTGCTTTATTCTTTTGCATTCATCCTGGACCCTAGAGCTAAAATAAAAGGTTTCAATAGAGTGCTTAGGAGGTTGGGTAACCTCACTAGTATAGATTATACTATTTATCAGTTGGTCACTAGAGCTCGACTTACTGATGTATACAATAAGTATGAGGAGAAATATGGAGCTGTTAGGTTGAGGAGGACTATCCCTCCTAACCTGTGGGGGGTACGACCCCGGATACCCACGGCAGATCACATGGGCTGCGCCCCTAGGGGCGACCCAGCCCACAAGACGAAGCCTTGCGGGGCACGACTCTGCTCGGCGCCTCCCGCAAGACATCTGGAAGATATCCTAAAGATACTACGAGATCTGTTAGGATATGTGTGATCCCAAGATTCCTGTAATCAGTTATTACTTTTCGGTTATCTCTCAGATCTAACCAACTTGTAACCCTGCTCCCCGGACTATATAAGGCAGGCAGGGACCCCCTCCAAACACACGCAATATCATACGATAGCTAATACAAACCAATAGACCATAGGAGTAGGGTATTACATCATACTAACGGCCTGAACCTGTCTAACTCGTGTGCTTTGTTGCCTTCTTGTTCTTGATCTCACGCTCCTCTACCGATCAATCTACCTTCGTGGGATACCCCTCGGAGGACTGCCGACGATATTCTATCGACAGTTGGTGCGCCAGGTAGGGGCTTGCGTGCTGTTTCCTTGTCGAACAAGATGGTTTTTTTTGCAGGCTCTTCGTCCCTCCCGTAGCCCGGCCAGATCTTCATGGTCGGATCAATCTCTTGGATCATCAACGTTGATGGAGTCGGAGAGCTCCTCGAGCCGGCGCAGATCGATTCTGTGCCGATCATCCCCGCACCTGCATCTGCAAATCCGATCTCGGAATCACCTCCGAGGTCGCCTTCATCAGCAATCCGCCGCCCGCTTCCTCGCTACTAGAGGAGGCAGATCAACAATGATGATGATCGATTGAGTCCATCGATCGGGTCGGTCTAAAGCTCGTCGATTGTCTCTCCATCGCTGAATCGACTCTGGACGCTTTGGTTCAGCGCCGACCACCCTCCGTTCCGAATCTACCGAAGGCTGCTCAGAAAACTCCAGGAGTTGCGGCGTTGCCCTTCGGGTCACCAACGTCGCCGCCACCTACCAAGATGCCCTGAAGGGCAAATTCGCCGACCAGATCTCCGTCCAGCCTCCGCCAGCCGTTAACATGCTACACTTAGGCCGGTGCCCCGAAGTGTCCCTCCAGACCATCCCGGAGGAAAATCCGAGTTCTGAGTCACAGGGCTCTACGGAGGCCTTTGCTGAAACCTTCTCCGAGCAACTCCTTCTCCCACCCTTCTGGGGTGGTGCGATCTTCAACGTCAGCGTCGACAACCCTCCTTAGAATGGCGAAACCGAGGAGGAAAACGTTGCTCGTGAGAACCGGAACGTTAACCGCGCGCAGCGTCGAGAAAACGAGGCAGCCATTGCGAGGGCCGAGGCTGCTCGGAATAATCGGCTCGACTCACAAGGAAGGCCACTCCCACTCCACCATGACCTCGACGAAGAGTTTCTCCGCGTTGACGGCCATGATGTCTTCAAGACTCCAAGCGCCAATCTGGCAGTGGCTACTAACGAGCTCGCCCGCCTCCCGCAGACGCCCGAGCTCGCCAAGGTCGCCGCCATGCTTAAAGCAGCGCACTGTCAGGTTAATGAGATTCGATAAGATCAGAGACCTTTGTGCTCCATGAGCATGATTCACCAATCAGCTGTGCCGAGATCCAATCATCGCCCCAGTCAAAGCTGTTTCGCCAACCAGTCGCTGCCCCTCCAGGGGGAGCCAGGGGCCACCGCGCCGAACACCATCGCCAGCATGACCAGGAGGTTGAACAGGACGCTCGAGTGCTCCTTAGCAACCTCTGGGATGCACAATGGCGTATCGAGCAACGCCGCTTCGGTCGCCACGAAGACGAGGCACGCCGCCGCCAGGAGTACGAGCAGGAGTATGGAAACCCGGACTCAGCTCTCGAGCAGATCGACACCGGCAACGCTATAGCCGACGCCGACCACAACCCCGAAGGTCCCCCAGCGTTTACGAGGGCGCTCCGAACACTCCAGTGGCCCTATGGTTTCAAAATAACTAGGGTTGAGCCTTACGAGGGAAGGATGAATCCAACACAGTGGCTACAGGCTTACGCCACCGTTGTCCGCGCCGTCAGGGGAGACACCAATGTCATGGCGAACTATCTGCCCGTCATGCTCACGCCACACGCCATGAGCTGGTTTACTAGCTTTGCCCAGGACTCCATCGGATCCAGGGAAGAGCTGAAAAAGTCTTCACCGACAATTATATGGCTACGTGTACTCGGCCGGGCACCAAGCATGATCTCAACCGCATCAACCAGAAGTTGTCCGAGCTCCTCCGCAGCTACATTCGACGCT